ACAGCTCGTATCACAACAGGTCCAGCAGGAGCTGACCAAGCTACTGAAAGACCAGTTCGCCGACATCATCTGGCGTAACGGAGAGAAGTCGCTCGAGATTGTGCAGGCGCTGCAAGTGGGCGTACTGTGGTACAGACCACCTCTTCACTACGAGCAGCACAACTTCTACATGATGGTGAACTGCGCCGCCGTCATGGCTCTCGATCTGGGCCTGGGGAGGCGCAACACGCCCACCGTCATGAAGCTTGCCGTTGGTCCCTACAAGCGGTGTCATCCAAACACGAGCAGTATCGAGTCGCGGCGAACCTTCCTCGTCTGCTATTACCTCTGCATGAGCATCACAATGGTGCTGCGGCGGCCGATTCTCCTCCGTTGGACAAAGTACATGGAAGAGAGCGTCAAGATCCTCGAGACCTCTCCCGACGCGCTTCCGTCGGATAAGATCCTTTGCGAGCATATCAAGATGGCGCATATCGGGGAGAATATATCTGTGCAGTTCTGCATGGATGATCCCTCAGTAGAAGTCGCGATATCTGAGCCAAAGGTGGTCTACGCTCTCAAGATATTTGAGAACGAGCTGCGAAATCTCAAGGAGGACCATGAAAAGCAGTATCCAGAAGTGGAGCCCGCAATCCGCTTGGCGCATCACGTCACAAATCTCTACGTACACGAGATTGCGCTGCATCACAACCAGAGTGTCGCCGACTTCCAACCTCCGTTTCCCCAGGAGACGTTCGTTTCCGGCGTTGGCCAAAAGGAAGCTGTCGGGCCTGCTCACATTGGGGCGCTCGGCGAATGCCTTGTAGCTACTCACGGCATTCTCGACACCATCCTCAGCGTGCCTTTGGATATTCTATTGACTCTGCCCGTTCTCTTTTGTAAGTCACGTCATCCTCCCCGGTGACAGGGGCGCTAACGATCGATTCAGGTGTGCGCGCCATCTATGCCATTGTGTGCTTAATGAAGATGTGGGTGTCTGTGACGACCTCCGGCGAAGTCGGCAACATCATCAAAAAAGAGCATCTGCAGATTGAAACGTACACCGAGCGCCTAGTAAACATGTTCTACGCCATTGTGTCTCGCGATGCCCAGTCCCCCCACGGCAAGTTTTACTTTGTCGCCAAGCGTCTTCAAGACCGCTTCACGCACATCAAGGAAGGAGCCTCACGTACGGAGCACTCCTCCGAGGTCACCAACGACTCACGCTCCACGACAGCCAAAGCAAGTCCGAAACGTCCATCTTCACAGACCCAATCTCCTCTCCATCTCCTCTCCGAGGCGGCAATGGGCAGCAGCAGCACGCTGACCACTCATGCGCAATCGCCTTCTCAACCTCTCCAGCAGCAACTGGCGCAAGCGGCCGCCATGCACCAGCAATCGCAAGGTCCGCAGCAGCAGCAGCAGCCCGTCCAAGGCTGGTATCCGGGCATGCCACCCCAGCAGCCACAGAGTACCGGTGCGACGGACGCGTCGGGCGTGCCGTATGGTGTCTGGGACCCGAACTTTGACTTTACGCAGTTTGATCTGAGCACTGGGTCCGATGCGGATCTGAGCGCGTTGTTTATCCCCGACAGCATGATGTGGAGTTTTGCTCCGATGTATGATGTGCCGCCACCACAGCAACAGCAGCAGCAGCAGCAGGGGTATGGTGGGTTCTAGTTCGACCGTGGGATGGTTTAAAGCTTGGAATGGAGATTGGTGGTGTATGGGGTAGCTTTACTTTACTAGTTGTACGATATGATATGTAGGTAGTTTATTTATATCTTTGGAACGTTTTTCTCTACCGAAGAGTCGTCCGGTTAAGACGAGGGAGATGGAGTTGGATGATATGGTTTGTAGAATTATTTCTATAGCATAGTATCGTGTAGTACAGCATTGTATAGTAGACGTCTCTCTTTCAAGTTTCTCTCTCTCCCTCTGTCTCCTACGTAGAACGACGACGACGGGAAATCTTTTAAGCGGACTTGGTTGTTTGGTCTTGAGAGAGAGAGAGAGAGAGAGAGACATGTGGTGCTTCGCCGCGCTATATACACAATATAAATATCGTACGAGAACTCGTTGCGTTGGTCAGCGTCGTTTAATCTCACTTCTCACTATCATTCGCGCCACGGAAGGGCGTGAACGGCGTGGGCAATGCAGCACTAGTTGTTAACACGACCGGGCGGAACGGCGTTGCAAAGAACAGAATCGGTGAGTCGTATAGCAATTACGAATTCTTGCTTTGGATGGATGGGAGAGCTTCGAAAGGACTGCGTCGAAGGAAGGAAGGAAGGAATGAAGGAAGGGAGGATGCAGTGAAGATTCTGAATCCGAATTGAATCGAATCGAAGCAGCCACGAGAAGAAACTCCAAACCCCCTACCCCCTCCCTTGTATACCTATCACTACCACCCACTCCCTTCCCGTGACCCAAATGCCACAACACTCCCACTGCCTGGCTCCGCTGCCTCGCGCCTCCCCCACCCAATCCCACTTCCCAGACAAACTCCCATCCAGCCCGGATATATCAAACACAAGCTCCAGTTCCGGCCGTCGCGACCTCAAGATATCGCCTTCCCGTGCCGTATGCCGCCGCTACGTGGCATTGTCGTGCCCGACTATCTAAGTAGACAAGGCATGAAAAGCTTCAGAAAGGCGTCGGACAGGATTGAACTGTTGTGCTTGGGGTTGGGGATGTGATGGATGGCGCCAACCGGGAGGGAGCTTTAACCCTTCCCCTCCGCTGGCTAAGTTCCAACCAGGAAAAAAGCCCAAACCTTGACGCCGTCAGGGTTTCGTTACCATCATCATTACCATCACCATTATCGCAACGGTATTCTCACGGCTTCCCTTTTCGCCAATGCAATCATGAGTACCTAGTGGGAAGATAGCATTATTGGTCCAGGTTCTATTGCGTGCGCCGTTGCGTTGACAGTAGTGCCATGGTGGTGGCATTTAGACTCCAGGGCGGCGAATCGAGGTTCATCGGGCTACGTCGTACTGTACCTGCGGCGTTAAGGGATTGCTTAGTGGCACCTGGGTACTGGATCTTGCCATGATGATATGCTTGAACCGGTTCTGTGGCACTTTGGGGCACCTGTGTGGATGGTTTGATGGTGCGTGTCGTCAAGACTTGTCCTCGTTGTTTGCTATGGGCTTTTGGGAAATGAGGAGCGCGGGATAAATACCTCTCCTTTTTCCGTTGGAGGGGATTTTTCTTTCCTCTACACACACGCACATACGGTCTGTCTTGACTTTAAAAAATGGAACCAAACGAGCGATGTGGGTCTGGAGCTTGCTGCTCTGAGTATCCAAACTTGGGACTCTAGATTGAATTGAGAAACGAGGAGAGCATGGAAACATGAGTACCGCGTCTGTGCGACTCGATCGGTGTTAGAAGCTACGGGGAAAGCGAAAGCGTTAGGATGACGATGAGCGATATCGTTGTTTAGATATAGTGAACGTGAATAAGGTGTATGGGCTGGAGTGTTGGTTTCGCGAACGAGGTGCTTGCGCTTGAGGATTTATATCCGTTACTTCTTCGTTACTTCCTGACGCATTACGCACTGCTAGAGTACCGGCTCTAAAAGAGAACGGTACGTGGCACATGTGCGCACTGGTTTTGAAAACCAATGAATACATGCTTATGTGAGGCTGCTGCTTTGGTCGTCTGGGTCTGCAGTTGCTGATCCAGATGGGGTTATGGAATTTTGGAGGAATTTTTGCTTAGAAGTTATGGATGCTGGCGTGATTGCATGTGTGCTATTTGGCGACTGTCTCGAGGGAATGGGATGAAGACGATCATGTTGATAATGAGTGGTGGTCGGAGTGGTTAACTTCCGACTTGCCCAAACCCTGACGGCGTCAGGGTTTCTGCCAGCCACTCGCGCTGGGGAAAATGTAGGCTCTATCACTCTAACAAACCAATAATGGCTTGACAATATGACATTGCGGACGTTTTTGAGTTGATTGCAGCAGTGCAACAGCGATTTCCAAATTCAACCGTATCCGGACGGCGCTTCCGTCATCTGAGTGACGTAGATTGTATATATTGCCCTCTTGTCGCGGGATCTACTCCTCTGCACACACAGTGATCTCCAGGATACTAAAAACTGTCAACAGAGGGCTCAACGTCGAGCTTCTTTCTCCAAAAAAAAAGATCCGCGCAAACTGTATATGCTTTGCAAAACCTCTCCGCCTGTTCAAGAGTGCAAGCACGGAAGTTGTGCACGAAACATGAGTGTGAGTTTGAGCTGAGAGACATCGGAGGCTGAGGACAGGATCTTTTTGGTTTGCGGTAAATCCAGGGATGGTAGATAGATCGTCAAGGTATTAGTGTCGTCAATGTAGTGATGGCGAGTATCATTAGCGTTAAGTGTTCCCTTTTCTCAACACTCTGAGCGCTGCGAAGATGGGATCGGTGCGACTATCCCGCCAGTTCATGGCCCGTCTATAAAAGGCTTTTGGTATCTTTTCCAATATCAACTATAGACACCGCAATTCTGGGCATTGTACGAAAAGGACCCATGTTCGTGATCCAGGTGCTGCCTTACTCCAGAACGGTGGTAGAGAAGATTCGACGGTTCCGTCGGGTTTGCGTTTTTGCGCTGAGGGTTTTCTTCTTGGGGTTCGAGGTTTGTGTGGACTGAACGTACCTATGGTAATTTCGACTTCGAGCCATATCGAATGGAAGTTCCGTTCGCGTGGACCAACATGAGTGAGTGCAGCGGACGATGAACGAAGTGGTTTTCGCGACAGGTTAACAAGCGCATCGCGAGTAAAAATTCGCGAGCGCGATCTTGAAAGATGATGAAGCGCATCGCCATCCGCCTCGAACAGTGACAAGTCTGTCGTCGCTGCCCTGTATCTTTGGTGTTCGATATGCTGATCGCTATCGCCCTGCTTCGTGCCCGCGGACGAAGTGACGAAAAATATTAAAAACCAAAAGAATATGACCCTCTGCCGGCGGGTGGAGGGGTAAAAGGTAAATTGTAACGCAACCCAGCAAAAAGAAATCATTTAAGGTCCTACCCGGATTCGAACCGGGGTCACCGGAAGATTCTGAGGCGATCAGAATCCGAAGTGCTAACCAACTACACCATAGAACCAGATATAGCAGCCATCAGGAGTGAGTGCTGATTGATGTCAACATTCCAAAATATTGGCAATATATAGTACGGTAATTCTCTGTACGAAACTAGGGGATCTGGAAGTCTGAAGATCTTTGGTGAGCCACACGGAAATGCGGAAAGTAAGGCGAGCTAGGCGAGTCAGCTAAAAAATTCTTTGTGCGTGCCCCACTTGTTTCGTCTCGACACCGGTTGGGACGGAAGAACCACAATAAGCGATAGAGAGCGCTGAGACCGACCTCAAGAACCCGAAACGCCATGTGGAATCACTTATAAGGGTATTTATTTATAAGCAAAATTGACTGCGGTATATAGCGCACTCTATTCACAATTTCAAAAAGGCGTAGAGCCTACACTGCACAACTTGGTTTCCCAATAGCAATGGCCAATAGCAAGCTTTTGAAAACTCCGTTCGTACGCAGACCGAGTACGTATCCATAACGGATGCGAGTAGCGTATATTATAGCTTTTATTTGTCTAACATCCGGATATTGCGATCGCGCGACCGGTTTGACATTCTCGGGAAAGCGCTCTTGCATATGCGATAGAGCTTGCAAACCAGAGAATGATCGAGACTATTATAATAGTACTCTTCCTTACTGAACGCAGGTGTTTCATTGATATTGCGGTCTCTCTCAATACCGTCGTCTGGGCTACGGTAATAACACTCTTCCTCCTGAAAGTCTCCAACAACGATACCTGCGAAGAATGTCTTAGCGAGCACTTGATACTCACGATTATTTAACTAATGGATGAGGAGATTCAGAAACTCGAGTCCCTGCATCAACGCGGCAGTGACTTTTCGTCCGCTTCATCACGTGACCGTGTCCCTCTAGCCTGCAGATGCATTCCACCTAGAGTAAAAGCCTGCAACAGAAACACAATAACAGATGTTAGTTAGCTACCGAAATATCTGTAAGATAGGGGTGGCAATCGTGGCGGTGATGTATCACCTTGGGTCACGAATAAGAAGACCTCGAGAGCACTTCTGTCGCAAACGACATCTCGATTTCCCTCAGTTTCACACGCGATCCTTCATATACCTAGGTATGCAAACTGCTCAATTACTCAATCAATAAATTCATCCAATCTTGCGGGGTCTCATTGCAACAGCACAAGATGGTGTTCCATCTCAAACCACTTCCCTCAACTTCATACACACATCGATCTCGAATCTCAAAAAGTAAGGACTAGACAGGGGCAAGGTATACAAACCCTCCTATCGACCATCCATTTACTTCCTCTTCCCCACGCAGCTTCACGGGGCCTTTGTCGAATGATAAAAATTCGCATGATGCTCTGCTGTGGAGACTAAAACGGTCCTGCAATTATGCAATGACCGGGTTTTCTTTTTTCTTGCGCGGTTTTAGTTTTTGGTACGTTGAAGGTGTGGAGTGTTTGATTTCATGTATAGTCAGTGGTGATGGTAAACGCCTTCATCGTACAAAGCGTCCGAATCAAAAACCGGGTAGGAGCCGGCATGTGAGTCAAGAAAGGTGGCGGTAGATGTTTGGGTGTAACCTCCCACTTTACAGTTGTTCTGTTCTTCTTACACGCTGCAGAGTCCTTCTGAAGGACTCTAAAAGACCAAGGCCACGGAGGCCACGGAGACTGTTGTCTGCGGAGTCTCTCCTTCTTTATTAAGATTCAATTGGGGAAGCTTCATGAGATGGTGTGATTGCATTATTAGGGAGAGGAAGTTACGTTGACGGAGATATTAGTGCCGGTGGCGATAATCAACACAGTCATCTCGTACGAGATACGGTCTATATAGTGAAAGGGTGCGTATTCATAACTTTGACAGTGAAAGATATTCTCGTCTCCTCACAAGGGGATATAAACCTTCTCATTAATCCATATCCTCATTCTCTGCACGGATGACAGCAATGCCGTGAGCAGGCATAGCAACTAAAATATTGAAAACAAATCGCACAGAACTTCATGCGATTCGTGTCGTGAACTTCATTCAAAAATTTCCGCAGCCAGATGCGTGAGACGTTATTTTTTCAACCGCGGCACTAAGGCGCAAATGTATGAGAGCTAGTGTATGAATGAGTAAATTATCTGGTGGTGAAGTTCCCGTCCTCCACATAACTTGTTTCGGCTTTTAAGCTCCCTGTTCCCTCACAATACCGATATACCGGTATACCTCTCTTCTATGAGCTATTGCTATGTATTTCTCTACGATAGCATAGTATATAACGAAGCACCAAAATTGATCCTATTGAGAGTCGATGATCCTTGCCGCGGACTGGTTAAAACCGAAAAGCAATATCCTGCTAAAGTATGGTAAAAGAAAACGCATGCGGACTAGCTTGCCTCAGCAACATATAAATACCACCTCTTTAGCACTCTTCAATGATTTCTCCTCCACACACTTCTCTTCAAGTCTCTCGAAGTTCAGTACTAGGACACGCAGCCCAGAAGCCAAATGAGTGTTTGATCGAAATCTATTTGGTAGCGGCACATGGCACCTTCTCGGTCCGAAATTCTCGACTTATCTGCGCAGATGCTGGTTGAAGCGTTGTAAAACCTACGTGATGACCATCATCTTCACAACTTTGCATCTTCATCAACATGAGGTAAAGAGACCGACTGGTATACCTCGGGCTTACGGATATGCCAACCTGCGAGCTCGCTCGAGGTATAAAAGCCGTCCCAATCGTTCTTCACTCCTACCCTTCACACACTCAAGAGTCTTTTAACGAGACTAAAAATAACGCTCTGGAAAAGGAGGTTGTTTTGGAAGTTATGAAGATTGCTACCTATGCTTTGGACTAAAAGCAAAAGCCTTCGTCATGCAACTCAGCTTTCTGGGAACTTCGACACTGCGAAAATCCTAGAAGAATTAAAGAGGAACAATTCGAGCGGTGAAGAGCAGCATCGCCGCCTCAAACACTCCAGTCCAAGTTAATTGGCGTCCACGTGATTTGAGGCTAACGCGGTCAGTCGGATATAGATATAAATACCCCTTTCTCCCTCTGGTTGTTTCTCTCACACTTCTCGCTAGTAGATATATCTGGTGGTCTAAAAATGCCACACAAAAAATCATCATGTCGCTCTGACGAGTAAAGCTTATGAATAAAAAAGTCGCGTCTACCCTTGCATGGGGACAACGCTGTGCCTGGGTCCAAACCAAGGCGATTACATCTAAGATATAAAAGGAGGAATTTCTTCATCTACGCAAGATACGCACCGCTGAACTTGACTCAAAATCTCCGCCCGAGATTTTGAAGAGCGCGAAACTTATTTAAACCTCTGCCATGACACTCGAGTCATCGTCGACGCGGACTTGGCTATAAAAGCCACACAAAAACCCTCTCTTCCCTTGTTTCTCCACACACTTCTCACAAGACTCTTGCGAGTCAAAAAGAGGCACCACTACCTCTATATGGGTGAGCTGGACGGCTTCTTCCAAATTAAAATTCTAGCAGGTCCCATCATGGGCGAGGGCGTCCGTCCTTCTGCTTCCAAAATTAATTATTGTAAAGTCCCAAGTTACCCGTTACCCACAGTACCTCCAGTGATGATGACGGTCATCTCTGCAACACAGTACCCGCCCCGCCATACCTCACCACATCCACCAACAAGCGTTGGGACGTCTATATAAACCCCCTCTCTCTCCGCCCCTTACACTTCCTTCACATTTCCGACTCTTGACACGATTGTACTAAAACTACTATCATCATTACTAATGGAGAGGGTGTTCGTGGACTCGTTGGCGGATTAAAAGACAACAAGTCTAAATGTATAGAGAGATGCGAGGGGCTTTACTTGCGTCAAACGATCTTTTTTAATGGGAAAGGGGAGGGGCTTCAGGTCAGGGGGGAAAATGGAAGCTGTGAGAATACTATTGCGATGATGGTGATGATGATGACGACCAAACCCTGACGGCGTCAGGGTTTCGACATTACCGAACTATTCTGCACGGTTCACCTCTCCATCTGGTCTAGCTCCTGCCGGTGCCTATATAGCCGCTGCTCCTGAGCACCTATGCTCGACACGCAATTCATCCTTTTCTCTACATGCTCTCGGTGCTCTACTGTCCAACATTCCTAGCCTGGTTAGACCTTGAAGTCTAAATGCAACTACTACTGTGAACGCAACGGCGCAATAGAAGCAATAATAATGATGATGATGATAACGAAACCCTGACGGCGTCACGGTTTGACCTTTTTCCTACATACGTAGTTAGAACTCAAAGTCTAAAAGCCACTACCACTCTCAACGCAACGGCGCAATAAAAGCCAAAAACCAATGCCATCTTCCCACTCCTCATGATTGCATTGGCGGATCCTTCATCCTCTACCATGGTACTAATATTTTGCAAAGCGCGCTAATGGTCCGTCAGACTCCCTCCAACCCTTATCACTTCTAACCTCCCCTTTTTAATATTTTGTTGCACCTAGCCTGTTCTTCTAGTCGAACGGAAGGCATATAATTCCCAATCTTGTTGCTGCAGTAGACCGTCCTTTCCTCACACTCTTCCCGCAACGTAGTCTAGGAGACAAAAATGGGATCATGGAAGATGCATGAGATCGGTGCGAGGTCCTCGCGCGGGCTGAAGGTTATAGCCTGCAACGAATATGAGACTAGTGTCTGGTGGTTTGACCTGGAAAGATTGCATGAAGGGGAAGGTATGGAGACGATGGTAGTGTGTAAAAACGCTTCGGTGATGCTCACTACTGTCACGTGATAGAGAAGATCGAAGTGACTCCTGAACTTGTTCACTTCCCTCTCAGTTTGGAGCTTGACATCGCCAAATCCTCTAATGCTATCAAAAACTCCCAATATCAAGCTTCGTAAAGCTCATGCAGAGGTCCTACACCACCCTTCGCGACCATCTATCCACATATCACTGCGCCGTCACTGGATTCTTCACAGTCGCATACACATACGCACAGCAAGCCACACCAACTCAAGCAAGAACATCGTCCATCCCCCAACTAAGAGGCCATAATGTATTACACACCTCACGC